AACTAATGTGTAACGCATGTTAACCACACTAGTAATTGGAAAAATGTCGAATTCCCTTTATGATCATGATACTGAAAAAATTGTGAATAAGTAGAAAAACAAAGGGAGATACTAAACATTGTTAGAGAATATTTTCAATACGATGAACTTAGATTGTTGATAATTGTTTGAGTCATTTAAATGATCATAGGCAAATGAATGGAGATGAAATCTAAATGTGTAAATAAGTTGGGAACAAAAAGGCAAGCGTCGGAAGCATTTCTTGCTTATATGTTTCGCTCAAGTGAGAAAATGCATGCTTCCTCGCTTACTCGAGCAAGAACTCGATAGAGTATGAAAAGACACTTTTATCAATTCATGTTATCATAATTAATTAAGGATTGCTGTTGTTGACCTAGTTTTTTATAGGGGTGATGTGACTAATAGATCACAAATTCTCTCACGTTCACATAGCTTCTTCCTATACACTTAGTCAAACTGTTAGAGCACGTGGTATTCTTCGGTGATGGGAGAAGCAGCGGAAGCACTCCAACAATCAAGTCAGTCCATGTATGAGCATATAGTGGGGTGTGGGACATGCTAGAGATGTGAGCCACTAAATAAAAAGGGTTCGGATTACGGAGTGTATAAATATAGAGAATAATGTGAGCAAAATGTGTACAGTTTTATTACCTACAAACGACACAATAAGTGAGTTTTTATAGTAAGAGAAGATAAATGCTAACCGTTGGATGAATGGATACGTTGCCTCGTCTTCAACGGTCGAGGTGCCTTGTCATAGACATCAATTGGTCAATTCCAAACATATATTTAATGTTGTGACCGCTTGCAGTCCTAATGCAGACACGTAGGAACTAGACTTTGACATCTTAACTTAGTAGAACGGTTGTTGCAGTGAGTGATCACATCAATCAACCGTGGAAGATCTTTGTACGGAAGATTCCCTGTAGCGCCTTTAACTGCCTCACCTCGTCCATGAGGGTTCGATCCTCCATATGAGTTAGGATGATGCGAAGTATGGGCCTAGGTTTGCTTACGAAATGGATACCACATGGCCATTCTAGCTTACTGGAAGAGGCATAACGATTGCTTTCACAACCGATGTCCAGGGTTCAAGGATTGGTACTACTCATCCCTTCACTTCTCATTAAAAAAACACTTTTGTCTTCTTAAGGCCATGTTTGGCCCTCATTATTCCTTATTAAATTATAATTCGTTTTTCTCCCTCTTATTATCAACCACAAAATTTTCAATAAAATAATATTATACGGAAACCCAAAAAAATTTCATTCTTTTTTAACCACACATTCTCTAAAAAAATTAATATTCATTTCATTATAACGTGAAATAATAGGGGCCAAACAAGCGCTAAGTTTTTTCCTTCCAAAGTCGGATTTTATAATTTTTTCTTGTTAAATTGAATTTCTAAATCAAAAGAGATTACTGTAGATAATTTTTTCTTCTTATAATTTTCATAAAAATTGTACACAAGTGAATTACACTTGAATAAAATAAAAGGCCTACACTTAACAGGGAAGCCACTGTGATGGTGGTAATCCTACAATTCAATGATTATCCTTTATGAAAGAACTGTTGATTCAAAAATTATTTCTCTCATTTTGGAAGAATGTATTGTTGAGGGAATCATGTTACATGTATAACATTGGTTGACAACATCCTATTTATCATCATCATAAAATGTTTTCTACATCATATGCTAAAATTTTGACAACACATGATTGTTAACCAATATTGCACACTTAGATTTAGGGCCCCATTTGATTATCATTATTGTAGAATGATAATAAAAAATATAACCGTCGTTGAGCCCCACACAAAAGATTGAAATTCAAAATTGATAGTTAGATGTGATGGATAACAGTCATTTTTATGGATGAAAAATGAGAAATAAACTGGGGCTTATTCATTGTTGAGGTGTACAGTAGGGGAAGCGGAGAATGATGATGGTGGGTTTTCGTTGGACCCAACTCGGCATTTCATCAAATGAGTAAAATAAAGAAAATGATGAAGTCTCTTTCATATCATCACTTGATTAGAGTGTTGTATTGTCTCAAGTGCACAGCACGATTGAAAGCATCCAGGGATCTCCTTTTTGGTGGTCACTTCCATATAGATCTATTAGAGGGGTTTTTTTTTTTAAATCTTTGAATAAAGGCATAGCAAATCAAACCAGGGATCAACTAACTCCTTAATAACTCATGTGAGCATTTAAAATCAACCAATTGAAAAGTAGTTCTTGAAACGATGATGGCAGAATAGACACAAAAATCATGGAATTATCAACAGCTATATCTCACCATGTTTCTTAACTGTTCAAACTTTGCAAAATCACAACTTTAACAAGTGGCATTAGTTATACTTCAATTTTTATCAAGAAACAAAATTGGCTCTAATATAACTAATGCCACTGGTTTTTATTTTGTAAACTTCGAACTGTTAAGAAACATGGTGAGAGAGAGCTGCTGATAATGTCAAGATTTTTGAAACTAAACGGCAATGGTTTGACAAAGCTTTTGCTAAATTCAATATAATTCTGCGACTACGCAGTAAACCAAATAAAAGATAGAAACGGTTGTTACATACGAACGGTAACCTTTCAACAATACATTACTACGATTTATATATTTTTACAAGCAAAACAATCATACTACTCTTGTCGATTAGCTTGCTCCCTAAACTTCTTGTATATATCACTTCTATAAAAATTTCTAGTCCTAAGCACCAAAATGACTGAAATTACACACGCTAGCAGTGTCGCTGCCATGATTATTAGAAAAGCGAGTTTGTAACACTCCACGCCAATGCATGTCAAGTCTTGCCCTTCTTTCCTAACGAGTCCATTGGCTGCCAATTGCTTCATAGCCTCTTTATCATATAAGTAACCTGTTATTCTAACATTCAAAATATAAGCCCCAAGCGGGCTGGCCCCACCACCTAGAGTGTACAATGTAGAGTAGTATTTGAGCCCGAATAATTCTGATATGATTGCAAAAATCAACGGCCATTGGGCTCCAAAGCAGAATCCCATAATCACAGAGGATAAATATAGAGAATTTGGGACCCCCAATGCGATGAGAAGATAGCCAGCGCAAGAGAGCAGAAGTACTAATGTGAGCATTAAGGGACGTGGGAACTTGTACTTTACCAAGAAAATCTCTGAGGCAAAACCGGAGGCTACTCTTCCAAGATAATTCCATATGCTTACTAGTGACACAAATGTGGTTATGCTTTTACTTGGATATCCCAAGGACTTACCAATTTGGCCTAAATTATCGATTGCTGTCAATGTACCCCCAATTCCAAATGTTATGACAGTAAATAGAATTATCATATCTATGCTGAAAATTGCTTGCAATACGTTGTAATCCTCGCCTCTTTCTGGTGGTTTGAAAGGGTTGCTCCACCAGGAATCTGCCGGATTTTGGTGCTTTACTTGATCACCTGTTGTTGGCCGAGGTTCTTCAAGTGGTGGCGGATTTGGCAGTTGAGAATCAACTTTCAATTGAAGGGGGTCTTTTAACTCTAGTCTCTTGTTCTTCCAGACGACGAATTCTTCTTTGATGATAACAACCAGTTGAGAAAACAATAAAATCAGCACAAAACTGGCACTTCCTGCATACGCAACTCGAGGAAAGTAAAGTCTGTTTTGTAAGATAATCAGAATCATCAGGAAACCAGCAAGGCTTAGCGATACATAGAGTAGACCATAGAAGATTTTGAGCTCATTTTCTTGCCGGACAACGTTCATGAGTCGAACTGTTCGAAGGAAAATACAAGAAACAGCCGCCGGAAGCCACCCAATAAGTAAAATAAGAGACTTAGAATCCTGTCCATAAAAAGCATGGTATAATTGTGTGATAATCGCACCACTTAGGCCAACAACTCCCTTGAGAAGCCCTATGACTATTCCTCGACTCTCCTGGAAATTCTTAACACAAGTAATCAGTGCCCCAATACTGGAAAATGTTTGTGAATTTGCACCAATACATATATATAGACAAATCTGCCACACATGGGGTTTGGCCGTCCGGCCAGTGATGGCCAACCATATCATGAAGTAGCCGAAAAAGTTCATAATTACTCCAATCGAAAGAACAACCCAAGGTGGTGTAATTTCATTGATAAGGCCAGATATGATTCCTATATTTCCGCCTAAGTCTTTGAAGAATCCTATGAGGTTTAAGGTTGTCTGGTCATAACCTAGGGATGATTTGATGTCGCCAGAGTAGAGGCCGAACATATAAGTTGCACCAGACATGGACATGATTAAGAGGGAGGCAAAAATCATGAACCACTGGCCGGTGAGCACTTGGAAGGTAAAGCTTCTCAAGGCTCTCCAACCACCGCCACCACTACTGAATTCACCGGTTGGCATGTTGTGTTTTGTTAATTTGTTTTTCTTAATACTTCTTCCGAAGAAATACACACACTATAAAAACTTGCAAGAATAGGATGTCCTATGTAATGATTAAAGGAATGAATCAGTGACCCATTAGGGAGCATTATGGGGTGCTCTGCTCAATATGCAACTCCAGCAAAACAAATGGAATTGACACTTCTGCTTGGTGTACTTCCATGGAGACACTATTTTCGATATTATGTTACTGGGCACATAGTTTTGTCACAATATTTAAAACAATCAATAATCTCGATTTTTACACTCCACATTGTGTCAACCATGATATACACAAAAGAATGTACAAGTAGAATAATTCTAGAATTAAATTACTTGTACACTCTTTATGTACAAGAAGTTTGACATTTCAAGATGTGTTAAAATTCGTGTCATTAATTGTTTGAAGTTTTGTTAAAATGAATATATAAAAAGTTGTCGTCTCAAAACAATGTCAAACTTGATACACGTGTTGCAAAACCGAAACAAATATTAGAGTTTAGATTTCATTGTTGGTAATTGGTATAACATCAACATGAGGCCGATATGGTTAAGACTTAAGAGGTACAATTAAATATTACTGTGGGGTGAGTTTAAGTGACATTAAATAATACTTTCTTCATTCCACAAAAATAGATTTATTTTTATTTTTATACAAATTAAAAAATATATACTTAATATAGTTGAAAATATAATTTTTCTAATTTTTATCTAATGCAGATCTACATCAAAAAATAGTTTAAATAAGAGTAGTTCATATTTATTGATAGAGCAACTATATTTATCATCATTGGTGTGAAACACCAATTTAGGTGACAATTACATAATATTAAATGATATATTCATTTAAATACAAAATTACATGACTCGTTTAATTGAACCAATAAAATATAGTCTTCTATATTGGTGCTAAATAACATTATTTTTTATAGTCATATTAGAAAACTAATAAATCATTTATACTCTCAACAAGGAAGTAGTAATATGAGAAATTTAGTAGTAAACACTCATTAAAAATTAATATTTTCTCTCTTTAATTTTGTTGTCTCTCAACTATATGTAGCAGATAACTCATTGCTTCTCTATTTATCCCTTTTACAATTGTTTACTTTCTCTTGGAACTATATTCTCTATCTATAATGAAATATTATTACATACTTCATTAATTATGTTAGAATTTGGGTGTGACTCGAATTCTTTGTTTGAAGTATTGAAGGATTCTAATTAAAATGCACGTCAAGGAGAATTCAGTTTGGAATACTATTAGAATCCTATGTCAAGTTGAAATT